AAAAAAAAAAAAAAAAAAAAAAAAAAAAAAAAAAAAAAAAAAAAAAAGCGTAAGATGTTGTTCGGAGAGCGGAAGAAAAAACAAAGAAAGAAGATGGAAGGAGTAGTTGCGAATCGATTGTCCCTTCCATGTACAGCAACGGCGAAACCCTGAAACCAGACACTTTGCGGCTGCTGCGTGTTTGCGTATTCATCACGCAACGCGGAGGAGGAGGGCTACTTCGATGCCGGTGCTAATACGTGCCGTATAACTTTATACCGCGCACGGCTGGTCCCATCACATGCATTACATGTAATCTATATACGTATGGCGTCTTTGTCGTTGGGATTGCTTGGAGCTTTAAAGCTCGTCAGGGTGTGAAAATATTTTCACGTTGAAGCTCCCTGAGATCTTTGGTCCTCGAGGAGTTTCGGAATCCGTTGGATGTAGCAAAACTGCAACAAAGGGCTTTTGCTCTTTTGTTGGATTTTAAGCTGAAATTAATGGCGTAAGTGCCTTTCGTGCAGAATCACGAAACAAAAATGGAAAAAAAAGTTTGTAGCACGCGATTGTCCCGAGTACCATTTTTTCCTTTTTTCTTTTTTTTTTTTGTTCGTATTTTAAACTATAAATTTAAATAATGATGGCCCGAGTACAGATAACATTTAATACGCGTATAGCGTGTTGCCCGATAATGAGTATTTTGATGGCACAGGGCGTGTTGTAGTCTAGGTTTACCGGGTGAAACTGGCGAAGGAAAATTAAAGCATAATTGCGTTTGGAAAAGCTATTGTTATAATTATTTTGAAACTGCATATCTAGTAGGACTAATGGAAGGCTTTCATTAAACATCAAAATGAACGTATATCCAAGTTACGTGGAAGGAGAATAAAAAAAGAACGATTATAGATATTTAACAACAACAAAAAAAAACAAAGCTCCATTCAAAAGAGTTAATTGCGCTACAATTCTCCACGATTATTTCCAATAATCCAATATTTTAAAAAATCCCAATACCGTTGCCTGAATAATGGCTCCTCACCCTTATAAATAAGGATTTCCCCCAAGCCCCATGATAAACACGTACCATCAACTAAGTATACCATATCATGAAAAAAGCTCTATAAATAGTGTAATGCACGCACTTCCTTTCTCATGGGGAAAAAAAATATCCAATGCATGTGGCCGAGGAACAAAAAAATAACAATAAAAACAGACGAGCTTATTTCACAGCAGTTCTGTGTAAAGTGAGCCATGCGGTGCACGCGCTCGAAATTCCGAGACAGACGCGCGGTGCGCTCCTGTTACCTATATACATCACCTTGCCACCATCGCCATGCTCGGGTTACTCGTCAACCGCTTCTTTCTTCCCACATTTTTTTTTTTTTTTTTTTTTTTTTCCTTACCCAAGGGCCGATGGAGCGTTTTCTTCGCCACCACCACCACCGGGATTTATTCCCTGTTTTCCCTCTGTTTTTCCGCCCTCGTTACTCACACGCGCGCAAACCTCGTCGTTCGTCCAATTTTTTTTTTTTTTTTTCCTTACCGATCGCTCATCCTTGTTTTTACCGATACGAGTAACGTCCGGGTCGGAGGAGCCCTTATCCAATTGGTCGCTAAATTTTACGATCGCGTTCTCCTTTTTGGCCCTTTGTGAACAAAACAAACAACAGAGAACATTGGAAATTCGAGCGCGAAATCACGTCAAGCCTATAATGTGTCTTACGTACTGTTCTTCGCGTCTTATGATGTCACTCAACGACTGCAAGTTGACTAATCCTTGGAAACAAAAAGAAAATTAGCCAACAAGTGGATGGCGTTGGTGATGGGGGAAAAAAAAAGCCATGTATGTACCAAAAATCGGTTCTGATGTATTATCGAGGTCGGGGTGATACTCCAGCTTGATCTTGCGAGTGTAATCGACGAATCGTGGCTGCGAGATGCGCAGGAACGACCGATCCGGGCTGCATATCGGCGTGGACGTGCCTCGCCCGGATATGATCAGTGTCGACGTGTTGCCCAACGGAGACGCCAAGCTCAAGCGATCACTCGCGTTGACGTTCGGCATCTTTCGAACATTTGGTCACTTTGGTCTTAATACAAATGTACGCGGATTACGGAGCACCATACGATCGTGCACGAGAATTCGAACTGAACAATCGATTGAGCTTTCGATTCGTCGTCGGCCAGCGAAAGGACCTTCACAATCAAAACAAAGTAGGTGTTTTCAAACAAACGCTACTCTCGTCTAGCTTTGTTTGTGCCGACAATCGTTGATTTCGATCGACAACCAATGGAACTCCATATCCGCACAAGTGAGCTATAGTGGATGATTTTTCTCTTTTTTTTTTTTCATTTCAATAATGCGGCTGCCTTTCGTGATTATCATATTGATAATAATTAATTTTTTATTAATGAAACATAAATAATATAAGTGTACAACAGTAAAAGAAGATAGTATAATTTGTTTCGACAAAAAA